TGATAGATTTAGAAATACTTGGTGAGAGCTTTTGAGTTCTATACCTTTTTAGCCTTTGTTATTTTGAAATTTATAAGAATATCAAATGGGTTTTAGTTGTTCGAGATTTAATTTTTAAAAAATTAGAAATTGTTAATGAATTTTGGAGATTGCCCAATGGATCTAATTCCCAATTTTAATTTCTTCTAACTTTTTCTTTGAATTTGCTTTATGGAATTCATGTTGCTGCAATTTGTGACGCTCTATTTCACCCTCATTCTCTTCATTTTTTCAGTCCGTCCAAGGAAAATTTTCAACTGGAGGTTTTTCGTGGGTTGGCTGTTTGGCTCTTAGGAAAGTAAAGGAAAATATTGATGATAATTAACTGTGATTTGGTGATTAATTGGAATTTTTCGGTGGTTTGGTTTGCTAATTTATTGAATTTTTTTTTCTTGTGATTTGGATGTTTGGTTCATGAGAGAGAAGAAAGCAAAATATTGATGATAATTAATATTTGGTTAATTAATGATAATGATAAATAATTTAATTAATTTTCTTGTTATAAGCAATTTTGTTCCTGCAAATCAATATTTATTTATCCAAGCTCTCTTTGCCATTATATTTCAATATTTCTCATCAATGGTTGCTTTTTAGGATAGTTTCTATGTTTTAACTCTTATGTGCCGTCACCATGGTTATGGATATGCTTGATTCTCTAATTAGACTCATGCCTTGTTCTTGCATTAATGCCACATCCTCCACCATTGCACTAAAACATTATTTGCTTGGTTGATTTTGTGATTGATTACAAAATAACAACACCTTTCAATCATAGTATGATGTTTAAAAAAAAGTGTTAGGCAAATGTTATGACCATTTCTCATGTTATTTTTCCTTCTTTTTTTTTTTTTCTTTTAGCACTTTTGTTAATTAAGAGGAGAAATGTTATTATCACTTTTTGCACTTGATTTCTCAAGTTCTTTTTCTTTATTTTTCTCATGTCACTTCTTGCAACACCACAAGTTAATGAACTCAAGGAAATTACAGTAAGCATGTAAATTGGTTTGGTATACAGTTGTGTGTTCACTACGAATGTGAAAGAACCCAATGAAATTTAACAAAGACATTGACCCAGAGGAGAAGGTGATGGAACTCGTCAAATGAATAACTTTCTATTGGGTGAAAACATACTTCTGATAGAATTCATCCTTAAAAGATGGCAAAAGTCACTAAAGGAGGCTATGCGGTCATGCAAAGAAAATTAAACAGATCTTTGGAAGGGAGGAAAATACATATATAG